AGCCAGCATGGCTGGCTGGGGAATTCTGGGAGTTGAAGTCCACTCATCTTAAAGTGGCCAAGGTTGAGAAACTCTGGTCTAAATCATGAAGATTTAAAGAAAATACGCCTGGCCCAACAAGCATGCTTAGCAGATCAGTGAACCAAAGATAATTTTAGTAGCAGACATAACTCCAAAAACCATAACCAGCCAACTAAATTAGCACGGAACTAATGATGGGTTCTGTACAATGTCATTTTGAAATGTAAAGCTTAGCAGCGAGTTTTGGAAATTGCACGAAAACTCTTCGCTTTCCTTTCCCAACCCCCCCAATCCAGGGTTTTCCTCTACAAACCACCTTTTGATGAAAAGAGGACTAGCCACTTAGGTTTTATTTTAAGAGACGGTGATAAGTTACTAACATTGTTTATACTATTTGTGACGAAGGGGGAAGCCATTTCTTTATATATTTCTTTTCTTTTTCTTTATTATATTTTTATTCTTTCTTTCCTTTCTATTGCTCCTCTTTTCGGCACTTTCTATTTTTCCTGTTTTAGTTGGTATTCGTTCTTCTCTTTTTAATTGCCATTTTTAATCAAATTACTCTAAGGAAACAAAAAAGAGGACTGGCCCCTTGGCTCAATGTTCTTACCACCATGTCTTTGAGGATCTTACGCATGGGGGCCAGTGAAATTTTCCAAGCTTTTTTGGAGTTTTCGATCTGCAGTTCCACGGTGCAGCTGATGGATCGCACCACTTCGCCCAGATTATGACGAATATTTGCCACCGGGCCTGGCAATGGAGAAGGGAGACCATGGGTTCCAAAGGGCCCACTTGATGGAAGGCCTAAAAAAGAGTAGCCCGCTTTGCCAATTGAAACTTAAAAGGGAAAAAATAAAAGAATTGGAGTTATAGTGTTTTCAAAGATAAGGAAATGCTGCCCTCCGGTGGCTGCAGGCGGAACTATGCCCCCAAAGTATTAAATATCCCAAAGAGGGAGGAAGATGCTGCCCTCCAGTGGCTCACTGTGGCACTTGCAGCCTAAAGAAAACAGTCATAAAAATGCTCAGAGAGATTCTTTTTTTAGAGCTGAGTATCTTCCTACGTCTGCAGCTCTATTTATATCTGCAGAGAGGGGGATAATCTCAGACAGCAAGGCCCCTGGCAGTGTAAATGGTCTTTGGCGGAAGTTTTCCTCCCCGTTTTTTATTTCTTTTCCCAGTTTGTGAACAGAAGAACAGGAAGGGAGAGAGAGAAAATAAAATAAAATAAAATAAAATAAAAATCAGTATATAAAAGAGGCCTTGTGATTCTGATCGGCAGCTATGCACGAAATCCATCTTAAACATTTACCTTGTTTAAGCATCAAACTCCGATAAGAATCTCACCTTTGTCTTCTAAATATTTAGAGCAGGGTTTCTCAACC